TTCACTTTCTCTCAAATGCCAGGGTCTCCTTTTTACTATGGCTGAGTAGTATTCCATAGTATATATATGCCACCTGTTTTCAATCCATTCATCTATTCTTGGACCCAAATGTCCAAGAACAATTGTTTTAGCAATTGTGAATAATGCTGCTATCAACATGAATGTGCAAGTGTGTTTCCTCAAACTATAAGACTACACAGGGAAAACTCTTGAAGACATCAGAGTAGGCAAATCTTTCTTAAATAAGACCCTCAAAGCATAAGCAATAATCCTGAAAATAGATAAGTTGAATATATCAGGCTAAAAAGCTTCTGCACAACAAAAAAAACAATGATTAGAGTTAAAAGACAACCTTTGGCATGGGAGAATGTATTTTCAAACTATGTCTCAGATAAGGGACTGATTGCAAGAATATACAGGGAACTCAAGCAGTTTACCTGCAAAAAATAATTGAATTAAAAGATGGGCAAATGAGCTGAACAGACACTTCTCCAAAGAAGACATACAAATCAAAAAGCATATGAAAAAATGCTCAATATCCCTTATCATAAGGGAGACAAAAATTAAAACCACAATAAGATACCACCTAACCCCAGTCAGAATGGCTAAGTGTGGAGAACAATATGGAGGTTCTTCTAACATCTACAAATAGAACTGCCACACGATCCAGTAATTCCATTCCTGGGTATCTACCCAAAGGATAGAAATACACTCAGTCAGGCAAGCCTCTTTTTAACTGGGTATTAAAAAGCCCAACTAAACCCTGGGGATCTCTCTTCTACACGCTGGACTCCATCCTTCTTTGTTCCAGCCCACTGGGCCATCCTACCCTCACAGCCCTTCTTGCCGCCAGTCAGATCTGATCAGTCTTTCCCAGAGTTTAGAAAGTTCCCAAAGCACGAAACTGCTGTCTACTTTATACTACGATCTCTTCAATGTCACTGCTTTATTTTGTGGATAAATGGCAGAAAACAGTGTAATACAGAAAGTGCTTGCTTTACGCTCCTGCCAGTTCATCATCCTACTCCAAACCTGTCACACAGTAGGTGTCCTCCTTCTTCCACAGGTACCCTTTACATGAGCCATAAAAACCTGTTTACCATCCTACCCCCCCACTGACACTTCTCTTTTGGAATTTCCTTTTTCTCCCTCCTCACAGCCCACAACACTGCATCACCAATGTGCACCTAATGCATCCTTCAAAACTGAACTCAAACATCATTTATTCTGGGAAACTTACAGTTCCACCCAAAGGCTGATCTGCATGCTCCCTTTCAGTGGTCCTGTAGTAGCCAGGATGCTATAGGAGTCTGCTACGACCCCTCAGCACTACTGATGGATACCTGCAAAGACCCCTCTCCTACGCATGGCTCACTTAACCAGTGCTACTTGGTGGATTTGCAGACAGCAGTACCAGCATCACGTGGAAGCCCACTGGAGTTGCAATTTCTCAGACTATGCCTAAGACCTAGCAAATCAGAATGTCTGAGGGTGGGGCCCAGCAGTTTAGGTTGTTCTGCATGCTAACAGTGGAGCAGCTCTGCACTGGGCCCTAAATTCCTGACATCCCATCCTACACCATGTCCCACCAGTCTCTAGCTCCCCAACACTTCTTACTGCCTGGGATGAAACAAAGGATCAATAAATGATCGATGAATGAACGAAGAGTGGATTAAATCCTTTGAATGATTTATAAAACCTTTTGTCTCTTCTGGGGAGCTAAATTACACAGGCAACATTGTAAATATCCTTTAGCCTGTTAATGCCTCCAAATATTATTAGAATTGGAATTTTTCTTTAAGAGTGAAGATCTATGACAGCTTTTAATTTTGAATTGGTTAAGGCTCAGTGCACTGTTTCAATACTATTCAAAGGAAGGCTGAAATAATTTGAAGTTTAGAGCTAAGACAAGCACAAAAATGAAAATTCTGTAAGATGCATGGAATGTCTCTCAAAAGCACATTTTTACATATTCTCAATATAGCTGAAGGTGGTACCCTCTGCTTCAAGCTTTGAAAGATTTGAGCTTTCTTAGTCATTATCTTTCTTATGACTATTTTTTAACATAGTTGTTTAAGAAAAAATGCAAATTGTATAGCCACAGTAGACTGCTACATATTAAAATATTATCTCATAGACTAGTTTCTCACAACAGTCTTCATGCTATATGTGGCTCATAGATGTATTGCAGTATTCATTTTGAAATTAGCAAGGCTACTAGAATCCTTTTAGTTTTTTCAGGCATAACTCTACTTTTCCTAAACAACTGATATAAAATAGTCAAATATAAAATGGGCAGTCCTAAAAACAAAAAATATGCCTTAATTTAGAGATAATTTTATGTACTGCTATCATATAAAGTGAAAAAGGCATTATTACCCTTATAGTAACCATTTTTTTTCTTTTGGAGAGGTTTTTGCTATAGGGCACGTGCGCTTTCCAGAAAGAGAGACAGTGAGAAATTACCCCCCAGGGGGGATGGCCACACCACAATCCTTTCTCCTCCATTCTCCTCTCGGGATCTTAGGCATGCCCGCCCACACCCCCAGCGTGAGTTTAAGCCGTGGGGTCCGGGACTCGAACCGCGGTCAACTACATGGGAACCCAGTGACATTTCCATTATGCTAACTGCTGGTCCCACCGTTACAGTAACCTTTAACACATACCCACTCTGGGTATTACTAACAGCTTGAAGAGCAGTCAGTCACTGAAGAGCAAACTAACACTTAAGTACTAGTAGTGTAATTGGTAACTAATCATATCCTATATACAGATTTATTAAAAGTGCAGACTTGACAAAGAATGTCCTTTTGCTTACCTACTTATCTTGAGGTTAGGAATTTTTTAGACAGCAGTGTATAAAATAGCAGCATCTGCCTGTAAAATTGCTGTCTACTAGACATTCAAGTAGACAGACAAGATTAAAAGGCTTGCATCTGCACCAATAGCAATTATAGCCTCTCCAACTGCTCTCTACCGTCCCTACTGCCCACATCCCTCCCTCCAAATAAAGGTTTAGAAGGAGCAGCAGAGGGGAGCTGCCCTAATTGGGGGCATGCATGTAGACACGCTTCAGGGACCAATCTACAGGTGCCAGTGCCTTACACTTAGTGTGAGACAGGGTCAACCACAGCCTTCTTTTTTAAAAAAAAATTTGAGAAATTTCTTCCAGAGGTTGTGTGTGCTCCCTGGAGAGACAGAAACAGTGAGAGAGATAGAGAAATCACCCCCTAGGGGGGAATGACCACCTCACAATTCCTTCTCTTCCATTCTCCACTTGGGATTTGGGGCATGCATGCACACACTCAGCATAAGCTTCAAGCTGCTGGGTCCAGGACTAACGCCTTGACCACTATGTCACACGCTGGCCCCCAGCCTTCCTTTTTTTTGAGAGGAATTTTTTCTACGGGGCGCATACGCTCGCCAGAAAGAGAGACAGAGAGCGAGAAATCAGGCCCCGGGGGGGTTGGTGGGGGGTGGGGGGAATGACCATGCTGCAATCCCTTCTCCTCCATTCTCCTCTCAGGACTTTGGGCGTGCACACACACGCCCAGTGTGTTTTAAGCCGTTGGGTCTGAGACTCGAACTACAGTCAACTACAAGGGAGTCCAGTGGCGTAATCATTATGCTATCTGCTGGTCCCAGCCTTCCTCTTTACAAGTCTTATTTGCCTCAACTAATTGGTAATTTCTTGGTTGAGAAACTTTTTTCCAGTGCTCATGTTCATTTTAAAAGTGAGGAAATTCTATTTTTGAAAGTTTTTCTAAGTATTGCTTTTGTTAGATTATATAGTCTCAAAAGTAGAAGATAAATGAAGCATAGAACCAAGAGGAATAATTGATCAATAAATGTAAATGGCTCCAAAAAATGTCAAAATGTATTAGAAATCCTAAGTGTGCCGTCTTCTATCAAAGCATCTTAAAGGCACTCAAGATCCTGCTGTAACATGTCAGATAGCAACAGGTTTTCAAGGCCGTTTGCTTGTTTTGGACTCTTGAGTTTTATACCATTTAGTTCTCCAGCGATGCTTTCTTCCTTCCTATTTTCCACCAAGTTTTAGTTTATGGCTCTCACAGGCAAGTCAGAGAGTCAATGGAGAAGAAAGTGTAATTTCAGTGACATGCTATCCCAAGTCCCAGTAATGGAGGAGGATCATTCCCAATTGTCTTGGGGTAATAAAAACAAACACATGTGGATTAAGCTTAAATAGCAACACTGAAGGGATAATGGCTAAGGCTTTCCTGGATTAAAGATCTTTGCAGTTCAGGTTGTAATTGTGATTAAGGTGACAAGAATGGGGAGTTCCAGTTCACGTGTTTTTTTTCTGGAGCAATTCCAAAAATCTCCCAGCAGGTATGTCCTAGAAACTAAACTTGGAGCATAGGAAGTGGTTACGCAATGTGCAGGATTTCACGATAAACTAGTAGAAAAACCTCAGAAAGTTGCAGAGAAAAAAACATGCATGTGTGTACAATTATGTATGAATGTATGTATGTGTATGTGTATACATATACCTGTTATGGGAAAAAATGCAAAACTAGCTGAGTGTCTAAAAAGTGTATTTAAAATTCTTACATGGCATTTCACTTATTGTTTTATTCCTAGACATAAGCTATCGTAACACAGCAGGAGGAAGCAGCACTGGTCACACATCAGAAGCCAGATGTCGTTCAGGATCAACATCCTTCAGGATAGGGAGATGCAGACATTTGGGCAACTACAGAGTCAGCAAGCCAGCCAACCACAAATTCTGTAACAGGAATACAAATGCATCCACTTGTCCTCTCTGTTAACAATCAGGCTCTGAACAATGTAAACGATTAACATATTCATTGTTCTCTTATGCTTTTGCCTCAAATTTTTACTTCTTTAGGGATCAAAGATATCTGAATACTTGGCAAACAAATGTTCCTGCAAAATCTCTATAAAATGCAGTGGCACCAAAAATGCCATATCTTATTATTTCAAGGGAGACACAAAAATATTAAGAAACACAAATCTAAGAACCAGTTTTATTTTATTTGCATTTAACATGATTATACACATTCATGTGTCTAACAAGATCTGCACTGTTACATTAAAAATACAGTACAATAACATTCAACATGAGGTACTTCATATTTATATAGTTTTCCTTCATAAATAATGCTGTAAGCTACTAAATTCAAGCACGCTGATGTGCAAGTGGCTACAGTGTCTTGAATTAGCTGAGCTTATTTAAACAACTTAAAAAACAAAAAGACAGTTCAGTGCAATAATTATGTAGAAATTAGACCATTTACTTAAATACTATTTTAAGATATGCTTAAAGAATGTTACATTAGAACTGCTAGCCTAGATCCCGTTTATCCCCAGCATGAACAATGACAAAGACTGCCAGATACATTGGGAAAAGCATCTACAGCGTATTCTGATTAATAAAGTTGTGTTTATACACTAGAGTTGCCTGCCTTGTCAGAACAATGGTTTCTAGTTTTAAAAGCTACCAAATTAAGATTACCAAAGAAAATAGAGCAAGCTTATTGGGCTTCATTCCATTTTGTTGAAAATGCAGGGGGAAAAAACAGGATTTGAAATAGAACATTTCTTATTCTAAATACAATTTTCAAATTTTACCCTCAGTTCTCAGTACCAGCCAATGAGATGATGCATGAGTCTTTCTTTTTTTTTTTCTTTTAAAGTAACAGTAATGAACAAAAATGTAAGTTTTTCTAAGCCAGCATACAGGATCTCATGCAGTTTTTACCCAGTAGGACCCTAGCCACATGGAAGGCAGCTGGCTAACAGGATCACTGACAGTGAGGGTTAGTGAATAAATGTGCTTTATGCTAAGGCTAATTAATATACCCACCCCAACAATCTCATAGGATGAAATCAGTGCTAAATAGTGTCTTCTCCTTTTTCTTACAAACATGTGCCTTCTTTCTAGTCAAGTCTACCAATCTGCATGGTAGTTTCGAAATGTTTAATAATAATTTTAAAACAGATTTCTTGTAGAAGTATTTTCTTAATTAAAAATGTACCTGTATTTCATCGATGCTTTGCCAAACTATTTATCATCTTCCTAGTAAGAGCTGATGGTCAGATCATTTAGGAAAGCTGTCCTGGGAGTACTCATCTATAATCACCAGTAACAGCTTTTGATCATCTGTACTAACAGACATAGGTAATGGCAAAACTGATTAAAACATTTCCCACAATCCAGTGTTCTCCTCCATCAGGGAAGACGGATGAAGGCAACAAGCCCATGTCCTCAGGGAAAGTGGCCCAGAAACACAGCGAAAGGTAAGGGCAATCACTCATTGGGCCTTGCTGGGGTCGGTCAGCAGGGGGACCGTTTCTGTCCCACCTCTCCCCAGCCAGGCAGGGAGGAGACAATTCCTGAGTAGGCAAACGCACTTGCTTGCACATGGGTGCGCAGGCACACACACACACACACACCCCAGGACTAACTCCTGGCTCCATACAAGCCAATTTCAGGCCTGCAGGGCAGGAGAAGGAGGCGGCCAGGGACCACACTCTGGGTGGCGGGGGGAGCCATCTCAGGATCACACTGAGCAGAAAAGCTGCCCAGGAACACATGGATAGTTGAACTGGCGGTGAGCACGCTGGACACCACCAGAGCACAGGCACTAAACCAACACGAGCCATCACTGAAGGAGAATTTTTTCATGAGCTTTTCCCTCCTTTGTTTACATTATCTGTGAACAAATAGAGAGGTGGATGTGATGCTGAAGCAGTGAATATTAGGTATGATCAAGTGCGTTGCTCCAAATCATTTCTTTAAGCTCTGCAGGCAAATATTGGCACTTTAAGGTGGCCAGAGGCCAGATTCTAGCAGTCCAGAAACAAGACAGAATTATAATTAACAAAGATAGTGTATGATCAAATAGATCAGGTAAAGCATATTTCAGACTAAAAAAACAAACAAACGAACAACAAAAGTATCTCATCACATTAATGTGTAATGTTACAAAACTAATTGCTACTCCACTCCTTTAAAGAATTGTTTGGTCCTCTTGAAATGGGGAGAAAGGGATTAGGAATTTCATACAGTACAATTTAGAAAAACAAGCCAATAGTGGGGATCAAAAGTTAAGTGTTGAAAAAAGCAGTCTGGCTTTGTCAAACTGTATTCTAATGTGCCATCAATTAAACTATTCATGGTATGGGACTTTTGAGGCATCTTTTAAAAATTGTTTTAACTTAAATTAGTAAGTCTGCAAACTTTTTAAAAATTTTTCAATAAAATTTTATAATTTAGTTATGTATAAAGGAGTGCCCAAGCTGCAATATTTTGTCTTCTGAATTAAAAGAATATAAATCTGCTTGTAGCAGAGGTCAAGACCTAAACACATATGCAATTTCTTATTTTCCTACTTTACATGGACACTCTGACGTGTTTAATATGTAACAATCTCATGAATTTAGGACTTAAAAAATAAAAAAAGCAAAGCCCATAAACAACAAATTTAAAAGGAATAAAATAACTGAACATGACTACCCTCTATTTTCTAAATTATTACTTATAACAAAGTAAAACTTACTTCAAAATTGTACATGAGGTTTAAGTGTCTTTCTAGGGGGAAAGGGTTCCATTTAAAAATAACTTTTGTCATTATCTTAGACTGTTTATTTCTATTCATCAAATAAATTCCAAAAGGAAATTTGAGGTGATTCAAAATTTTCTTCAGAGGGGCAAAACTGGAAAGTAGGTAGGGCACTTGGAAGAGCACAGACTCTCCCCAGATGTACAGACCCAACTCTAAAAACCACAAAGCCTTAGTAAGAACTTGGCTCTCTTAAGCATGTAGTTAAAAAGCGGAATGCTTCATTTTTGCCTGTACATAACTAAAAGGTTAAAAGAAATTAGAAAATGCCTATCTTCATCATTACAAATTACCTGCGCTGACCACATATCTGCAAAGGAGCTAAGCATCAAGCAAGTGGGGACCAGATATGCACCTCGCAGCTCACGTGGCTTTGGGAAGTGGGTTTTCAAGCATAGAATATAAGTTCGGGGATCTGCCCTCCCTGTACCCCAGTGCCATTGGTGCTATCTGAGGAGCACTGAAACTGGACAGTCACTTTGCCACACTGAACTTCTGTCATGCCTTCCTGTCCAAAGTAGCTGAGTTCGTTGCCGTCCAGTATCACGCTGGCCGTGTAGAAGGTATCTGGCTCGATCTGCACAGGGTACTCAAACCATACGGGGAAGGTATTGCTGGAGCCATCTGAGAAGTACTTGCTTAAGTTCTGCCCCAGGACAACGCCCTGCCGCTTGAGTTCAATCTTGGCACTGTATTCTGCAGAGCCACAGCTAGAACCATAGAGCCCAAAGCCAGCGATGAACACTCTTTTGTCGACTGCGAACTGGATGCTGTCACAGCGACCCCGGTAGCGCCACTGGTTGCTCCGATAGGCACAAGACTGGAAACGGTGACAGCGTTGGGGGACAAGGCCCTTACGGGCTTTACTCACAAACTGCAACTCGGGCTTTTTGGCCGCAGTGTACCAAAGGAAGATGTCATTGGTCTCATTAAGAGTCAATACTCCGGACTGTGCAGCACCATTTGCAAAATCGTCGAGGGCCATCGTGGGTATGCGGATCAAATACAGGGCCTTCCCTAGGACCTTACGCTTGTTTTCAATGCTCAAGGCTAGGTCTTGTCGCTGGCATTCTACTTCAGCCCAGTTGAGAGCTGCCTCAAAAACCACAATTTCTTTGGCATTCAGAGTTTCCCTGCGAAGGATACTTTCTAGAGTCTGGAAGTCGATATCACAGAAGCCCTCAGACTTGAGCGCTAACTCAGCCTGGGCATCGATTACCTCCCAGCAACGCTGGGTAAGGTCTGGCTCCTCAAACAGACAGCTCTGGGAGAGGAGCACACATGCGTTCTTGGCGCTCAGACTGGTCTCCAGGAAATTAACGCAGGCTCTGGCAAGGTGAGGGACAATGTATTTTTTGGCAGCATAAAGTGTGGCCAGCACCGTGTCAGCAGCCAAGTCAATTTCATCACAATAGATGTATCTAAAAGAAAGCACAAAACATGTCAAGGGAATATTCAAAATCTGAGTGTTTCCAGCCAGAAAAGAGGCAACTACTTTCAAGTTTGTTCTAAGAATATCATCTTACGTGGCAATTATTAAAAAAATGTTTAGAAATTTTAAAAACTGAGATATTAATAAATAACTTATATTTAAACTCAGTAGGTTTATATAATTAAATACATTAACTTTGTGTTATCCTCCCACTCTTCACTTTATTTTTTATTTTTTTGCTTTAGGGTGCGTGCCTCACTGAAGAGATGAGGAGAGAAATCTCCCCCTTAGGAGATGGCCATGACACAATCTCGTCTCCTCCATTCTCCTCTTGAGATTTTGGGCATGCATGCACATGTGCCTGGTGTGCTTTTCAAGACACAGGGTCTGGGATTCCAATTATACAACCGGCTATGTAAAACACAGAACTTTAACCATCATGCCACCTGCTGGTCCCCTACCCTCCATTTTATAAGCTGTATTCAGTGTCTTCTCAACAAAAATAACAAATACTAGAACTGTTTGAAAAAGAACTACATATAAAAAAGTATTAGGGAAAACCAGCAAAATTATAACACACATTATTACTATTTTAAAAAATCCCATGTTTTAGAAGCAAAACAGTTTTTCACTCTTCAATTTTTTCCCCTGTACATTCAGATAAAACAATTGCCTTTAATGCCATAATGTCAGCAATGACTGCATCTTGACAATGCTTTCAGTTTTTCCCTAAACACAAAAGAAAAACCTGAGATTACATAGGTATTTTTCCAAGTAGTTCTAAGTTCAATAGATTATCAAATATGGACTTCAATGCTATCTTCCAGTTAACTTTACATAGAATCCAACAAATTTTGTGCCATTTCTTTGTTAATGCTAAACTTTTCCTTCCACCCACTCACTACATTCCTTCCACCTTCAGAAGGAATACATTTCTGGATATACTTAATTTAAAAACAAAGCAAGGAACCTTAAATATGTATTATTTCTGTGCTTCTATAAACTGACCCTATTTCAGCAGATTAAATGCTTCTTGATTTTTAGGGGGATGATTGCAGTGTCCCAAAAGAAGGTGTAAGAAGGTAGACATTATCTAGCTTTTCTTTGTCCAGTTGACAAAATAAATAGTCAATGAGAAGTTCATATGGGTGAAAAATATATATAGGTACACTTTAAATTTTTCTAGCCAAGATGTATAGTTACTATATTTTAAGTTTTCCTTTAGTTATTATATTTTACGTCAGTAACTAAAGAACTTTGCAATTACTTCTGTAAGAAAGTACAAAACCAAACACAAATGGAAACTAACTTCTTACTTCCAAGAAGCCTTTCTACTTCTGATAGGCTAAGCCAGCTCCATTAGCAGGACCAGCTGATGGTAGTACAATTGCAGCTCAGGGATGTTTCGCCCAAGCAGCAACAGTTTGAGAGGCATCCTGGAGCAATCAGCATTTTGTAGGCTTATTGTGGATTGTCAAGTCAGTAGCTGTTTCCCTTTCCTGGTAAACCGCTTTCCAGGAATACGGGCTACTTACTTAGCTCTGATGCAAGATGGAAGAAACCTGGCCATCACTATTTTACCTACCTCAAGAGAACAAATAGCACCCTATTGCATTTCTGATTCTTCCACTTTATGTGAACTGTGTATATAATTTTTAAACACTCTATCAATATACACTCTAAGCAATACATGTTTGAGAAAAGATACTTGTCAAATAATGAATCAGATAACTTAGGTGAGATGTAATTCTCTGCCATTCTTATTCATGTTTCATAATTATGTGTATGTCCAGAATGGCACAGCTCAACTTCACTGCAGTGCAACCACCATGCTGAACTGGTATGAGCATTCTCCTCAGCAACAGAACACTGTGAACTAAAAAGCTGACTTCACAGATTGGGTGGTGGGTTGGGGAGGTAGAGAAAGCAGAAATCCTTGCAGGCAAAATTGGTTTCTGTACATTTATCTAAGCAACCTTGAAGGTCAAAATCATTGGATTAATTTATGTTTTGATACTTGCCATACTCACTTGCCTTTAATTTCCCTATCTCCTACCATGAAAGTTCCAGTCAGTAGCAATTAATTTCAAAATTATGAAATGAATAAAAAATTAAATACTTTTAAATTTTATAATTATTTTTACTAGGTAGTAAACAATATACAGCAATATTTAACCATTTGTAGTGGTACTGTCCGATTTGTTGACCCACTAAATAATTTTTCTGAATATCTTATTTGTTCCAGTGAACTGAACTCCCTAGAGCAGCAGATAACCTTGGACTCTTGATATACTTTGGTGTGTCAGAATAAAGGTTATGAAAAATCATTATTTAGTATAATAATTAGATTTTCAATCACAAGGTATAGACTATCACATGGTCTAGCACTTGTACACAGTGATTCTATTTACTTAGTGAATATATATTGTAGTCGTCTCTCAACTAGATATAAAACTATTTTTTAATAAATGTGTGTATCTCATAGTTTCACATTTCTATATTATCAATTAAAGTTATTCTTTTATAAATCCATATGAAATTTTATGACACTATTCATATCTTTCAAAAATTTCTTCTCTAATATCAAATACAAACGCTTCTTATCCTTGAGGAAGAGTATCTGAATATGTGCATATGTGCATAAAGATTAGATTATCTCAACAGTTTTGTGTTTGTTGTTTGGAGACAATTACTCATAGAGAACTTAGAGATTTCCCAACTGGTGGTATTTGAATAACTTACATAATTTCTAGAACTGTGAAGCAAAAATATAGTTTGCATCTTTGAAGACTTCACACAAAATGCTGGTAGAGAGAACAAGTTCTATTACATAATTCCTATACCAGAAAGTTACTTTTCTTTAATTAGTCTTTAAAAATCAAATTGTTATATGTGCCACTTGCCCCCAAATCCCATGTCAAGGCCTGATTATAAATGTCTGCATCATTCCACATGCTTTCCACCAAAAGATGAGTAGTTTTCTCCAAAAACATTTACAAGGTGAGCAGCACCCTCTCTCTTCATCAGCATCTCCTGTTCTGTTATGCTGATCTTATATTTAACTGTGAAACTAGCAGAGTACAATTATAGCATAAACAAACTCCTTCCAAACATACGAATGATGCTTACTTCAGCATAGCGAGAAAAGCAGCAGGTTCGACATCTGGTATACGGATTTCATCTTTGTCCTCAGCAAGTTCTCCGTAAAACATTGCATGGAACACAGAGCTCCCAACAGCTAAAACATACTGTGGAGAAAGGGAAATCTTATTTCATGCACTAAACTGAAAGCATTTTCGGCAAATCAGTCCAGAAAACAATGCTAAGAAAGCAGGCTTAGAAGACACAGAATACTACTGCTCCATTGAAAAGAGCCAAGGTACAGTGCACCTTGCCATGGAAGCATAAGGTGTTCAGCAAAGCAGTTTCTACATTGCTAATTATCTCAAGGTTTTAAGAGATTACTGAACAAGTCCTCTATTACGAAATAAGTAGAATAGAAGCTTATCTAACTGATTCGTAGGAGAAGCATAAACATATGACTTTTCTAACCTGTCAAAACAACTTCCCATGACTGGAGAATTAAGAGGGCATGTTTTTGTGTGAGACATAGAGCAGTGTAAAAGGAAACAAAGAAAAAATTAAGCGTGGCTAAAGCCCTTTGGAGAGGGTGCACTTTCTCTGTAATCGGGTGAAGCATGCAGTGCCTGCCATCGGCAAGCTGCCCACGCCAAGTTCCAGGCTTGTGGAGAGGGTCCCTCTTTGTAAATCTCAGGACTAAACGGGGCGTGCAGCTGTTGCTTACTTTGTGTCCAGGCAACCGCTGAGTCCCACCTGGTGGCCCAACCACAAAATGTACATCTGCCATCAAATCATTATTGAACATCACCGCATTTCTACAAACAGAAGCAATTCATTAATTCACAGCAGCCAGCATTTTTAATACCCTCTTCCCCAACATACAAAACCCACAAAAGATTCCCAAGCTAAGCAACAGTTTAGTAACTTCAAGGCAAAACAACTACAGGCTCTAACTAAACAATTATGTTTGAAATCATTGCAAACACATGGGAAGTAACTAAAGTTAAAAAAAAAAAAAGTTATACAAACTTTTTATAAGACTAAGAACAAATAAAAAAGATTCCTATCTTCTATGGCCCATAGACACAATTCTGTCACTTAGATGTTACAGCTTGCAAAAACATTTTTATCTAAGAGGAAAACAGCTGTACTATTTTGGAAAAGATACAAGTCAGTTTTCCATTACCAATAAAGCTTCTGGGAAAAGAGGAAATACAGATTTGTGTTAAAATACATTGTAGGTTGTGCAAAAGCTGAAACTTCAACACCAGAAAACTTTTAAAGTAAATATGCTAGCCCGACACTTACCTTTCTCTAATTGTGGGATAAAGACCCTGCCAATTTGGGGCCGGGATAAGGTTGTTGTTACTGAGATTCTGCTGGTGGTACTGCTGGACAGAGGTGCTGCTGGAGTTAGCTGGCTTTTTACGAGGAAATATATCAGCAGCCATCTTCTTCTTTTTAGTCTTCAAGGTAATTATTTCATAACAAACTGGGGGCAACTTGCTGCTGCTGCTGTTGCTGCTGCTGCTGCTGCTGCTGGTATTGGCTTTCTTCGAGCTTTTCTTGGACCTGTTCTTTACCGTCTCTGGAAGCATCAAGAAGAAGGTGAGACATTTCATGTTCTTTTCCTTGTCATCTACCATGAGTACTGTGTCTCTCCTTATAGTTAGATATCCCAAATTGGTTCAAACATCAAGGAAGAGGTGAGCCTGAGCTAAAAAAGTTATACAAACTTTTTATAAGACTAAGAACAAATAAAAAAGATTCCTATCTTCTATGGCCCATAGACACAATTCTGTCACTTAGATGTTACAGCTTGCAAAAACATTTTTATCTAAGAGGAAAACAGCTGTACTATTTTGGAAAAGATACAAGTCAGTTTTCCATTACCAATAAAGCTTCTGGGAAAAGAGGAAATACAGATTTGTGTTAAAATACATTGTAGGTTGTGCAAAAGCTGAAACTTCAACACCAGAAAACTTTTAAAGTAAATATGCTAGCCCGACACTTACCTTTCTCTAATTGTGGGATAAAGACCCTGCCAATTTGGGGCCGGGATAAGGTTGTTGTTACTGAGATTCTGCTGGTGGTACTGCTGGACAGAGGTGCTGCTGGAGTTAGCTGGCTTTTTACGAGGAAATATATCAGCAGCCATCTTCTTCTTTTTAGTCTTCAAGGTAATTATTTCATAACAAACTGGGGGCAACTTGCTGCTGCTGCTGTTGCTGCTGCTGCTGCTGCTGCTGGTATTGGCTTTCTTCGAGCTTTTCTTGGACCTGTTCTTTACCGTCTCTGGAAGCATCAAGAAGAAGGTGAGACATTTCATGTTCTTTTCCTTGTCATCTACCATGAGTACTGTGTCTCTCCTTATAGTTAGATATCCCAAATTGGTTCAAACATCAAGGAAGAGGTGAGCCTGAGCTAAAATGTTAACAGAAACCAAGAAGCTGATATTTTGCTTCTTTTTTTTTTCAGCCAGGCAAGGTGACCTTTTCACTATGTTGAATAGAAACTGGCTTTAAGTTTTATCCAGTACTGGGTCTGTTAAATACATCCCCATCATGATTCCTGTTTCTCTTATTTGCTCATAAAAATAATTGTTTCCTATATCACCTGAAAAATGCTACACTGAGCAAAGATGACAGGCACAGAGCTGTAGCATTTGTTTTCTGAATTAGGTTAGCAAGACGTGCTGGAGCCGTGTGAGTCTGTTCAGCCGGCTGAAGTTGTGTGTTGAATGGATCGGAGGAGAGTAGGTATTACAGCCCTGCAGATGGAGTCAGACAGCCAGTGCTCTGAGCCAATCGCTGAAGTCACCAATCATGATTGGACCAAGCAAAACAGTGACACCTATTGTAACGTGCACAGTTCTGTTATTAAAGGAACAGCAGTTGCATTCTCTGTCCGCTGTACATTTTGATAAGATAAACATATGAAATGTATTTTAAAACAGGAAGGGAGGAGTTTATGCTCACAGATTTCTCTCCAGTAGACGTGAATTTTTATTTCCCCAGTTAAACAAGTAGGATCAATTCACAAAGGGTAGGGACAGATATCTATTTTCTATTTCTAGTAAAATCTTTTCTCAGCAGCATTTAGTTGTAAATACTTCAAACAAAATTCTCTGGTCTATAAACTAAAGGAGATTATTAGTAGCAAAACTATACTAAAGACATTTATTACACATCTTAAATGGGAAGGATGTTCTTTTTTCTTTTTCTCAGTCTCTCAAAATGCAAGTTATACTCTAGTACAAAAAAAAGTGAGAATCCATGTGTTTATTTACTTCACAATGTTGTGTAGCTCCTATAGGGTCTGAGATAGGACTTTCAGGTCACAGATTCTTTTGCCATAGGGCGGGTGCCACCACGCCCCGAGGTCACAGATTCTTTTAATTAAATCAAGATTATACCAGTAGGACTTGCTGCATTGAAGCATAAGACAAATTGAAGATGTAAAAATAAGATTCAAATGAGACAAATCTGGTAATCAGTATTTAAAGCCCACAATTCTCTAAAAATATGTCAGATGGGGCCCTCTTTGGAATCTCAAAATCCAACTTAACTGTTATGGCTGCATTTAGTTTTGTAATAATTATAAAGAATATAATCCACAACTTTAACACAAAATAATAAGGCTGTTCAAAATTATAAATGTCTAATGCAGCCTAGTTAAGATGCAAACAGATTCTCTCTGCTTTGAATCAGATAATCATAAACTACTACATGGTTTTCACAGATGTGAATCTCTAATAATTTCTTAAACACACACACACACACACACACACACAACACAGACAGGATAACAACAAAAACACCTGCTGTAGACTCTACACAGGCTTATTTATTTTTAAAGAGGGGCTAATGAAGAGATTTAATCTCTCATTCTCGTATATTTTCACACACACACACACACACACACACACACACACACAACACAGACAGGATAACAACAAAAACACCTGCTGTAGACTCTACACAGGCTTATTTATTTTTAAAGAGGGGCTAATGAAGAGATTTAATCTCTTCCCTATTTGGATTACTCTACTCCCATTTGTTCAAAAGCATAGCAGACATTTGCAACTGCCCCCCCTCCCATGTACCCTTGACAACCAAGACCACCACCCTCCTTGTTGCACAACACTGATCTGAATAATGACTGCCTGACAAAGTGAGGGCTCCGTAAATGAGAGTTACAATTGTTATTATTATAATTAATAATCTACTAAAGATAACACACCAGCAATCAGCCTTTAAATCCTAAATCACTAAGCTCCATCAAAAAATAGCCTCTTTATTGTCATTATTATTTATAAAACTGAACGTAAAGTCACTGCAAAACATACTGTGTGAGAGAATCACAGCCTTTATCTTTAGCACAGGTTGCCCATTTCCATTTTATATAGATGGAGCCTGAAGTGCTGCTTATTTACTACAATGATTGTATTCTAAATTTCAGGGCTAACACATAATACACATACACACTTCCAAGTCACCTTCGAACACACTTCAACACACAATGTTAGAGAAAGAGGGACAGAAGGAGAGAAAGAGATTTAGAAACCAATTTTAAAAAGACACAGAGAAAGGCATGAAGAAAAAACAAGTTCCTACTTGAGCTAACTATTCAGGTTAAATCCAAAGAATTTCTCTCCTATTGAAGTGCTACTGAACTTCCTGGCCAGCTCCCTCCAAAGACAGCTCCCACATCAGACAAGCTCCTCTGACTGGGATTAATCTCCTAAGTATTTCTAACAAATCTAGTATCTAGTTTTTGAGGTCAGAAGTCATCAATTAAAATGGAAAGGAAGCCAGCTGCTTTGAGACTAATATACTAATAATTAATAGCTGGAAAAGAAACAAAAAAGTATGAAACACAGACACAGAACTTATTTTGTTGTTATTACTTATTTTTAAGCTTGAAAATAACTAGTTAAATGAAGTAGTGCTAATAACCTAGAAACAGTGCTGTAAAGTGGAGGTGTTATTACTAGGGTATATGCAGGGACAAATGAGTGTGGAAGTTTAAAGTCAAGAGAATAGAAAAATTACCTGAGAGTTCCCTTTCCTTTTATCTAATTGCCAGAGGGTATGTGCATTCCACCGAGACAAACAGGGAGAAAGCATTCTCCCATAGGCATAGTTCTCCATTTAACAATTTTGCTGGGATTTTGGCCATGCATGCACTCATCATGTTTTTCAGGCTGACATGGCTGGGATTGGAGCTACATGTTCGGTCATGTGGGATGTGGCTCCCTTAAGCACTAGGCAACTGGCTGGGCTGAGAGCTGCCTTTTCCTATCACAGTAATAAGGCAGTTAAAATTCTGATACTTGCTACTAACAGAGTAGTCCAAGGATCAGCAGCGGCTCCTGGATACCTGTTAGAAATGAAAAATCTCAGCCAGCTTCTAGGTCAGATCCTTCATGTAATTTGTAGGCTTTGAACTTGAGAAAAACTCGCATAGGTATTAACTAAGGAATGTTATGTCTTCTCAATGATCCAGTATCAACATCCAGTGCCATGTTTTGCATTGAACTATCAAGTAAATGGACAGTTAAAAAGAATTTAATTTTGTTTGGAATAAAACTTAATCCCTCATTTGTTGTACTGAAATTCTTCTGTTTAGGCCATAAATGTCAAAATGCTAGGATTCAGGTGTGCACACAGCTAACTAAAGGGCCAAAGATATTTATCCATTCCCTGGAAAAGCTCAAACTCAGTTTATCTTAAAGGATAATGACAATGATGATTTTAGTGAGAAAAAAATTAAAATTTAAAAATACAAAGTGTGAAGATAAAGCACTTAATATTTTTGAATAATCTACTTAACAATTCTATTTTTAAAAGTTAGCAATGTGGCATGGTAAAATTAGCAACCACATATTTGGTTCAGTTCTGACTGGGCCACTTAAAATAGAAGAAGGCATTTAAAAAAAGCATTTACTCTTTAAAGGCCTCAGTTTCCTCACCTACAACATATGTTTCTCAAACTTTACGCTCAATCCACACTAAAAAAATGTGTACTTTGATTCAGTACTAGCGCACATAAAAACAGACATGTATAAATTGAAAGAGTTCACCAAACAACTTATCCTTGGCATGTTATAATATGCTGTTACTTTTTATTCTTTTTCTCTTTTCTTTTTAATTTTGGTCTTAGCCATTCACAATTGATCTCATGACCAGTTTAAGAATACTGGTCAGGCCAATCACCATAGCACTGCAAGTAATGCAACACTCTGTGATGTGAGCCCACATGAGAAGGTCCTGGTTTTATACCCTGAGGTCTCTCTGTATACCATGACACACTTGTAGGTCCATGATCCAGGCTGGCTAAGGCTAAGAGCAGGCTGAGACATGAGGTCCTTAATGGGGATTCTTGTCTCTGTCTCTCTCATTAAAGAAATAAATAAACATTTTTTTTTGAGAGGTTTTCACTATAGGGCACGTGCACTTGCCAGACAGACAGAGAGAGACATAGAGACAGAAAGCGAGAAATCACCCCCCGAAGGGGGATGGTCA